GGGGGGGGGGGGGGGGGCTCTTAAAATCATCCATGCAAACTTAGCACGTAGGAAAACAGATATGGCTAAGGTTTTTCTGCCTAGTATCTAGTTTTCTATAGGGAGGTTTTATTTACACTGTGTATACTGTTGCATACAAACACACACACACGCACACACACACTGGCAGAACCTGCTTTGAATAGGGTCACATTTACTGAAAGTTTCCAGCCATTTTATTCCAATCTCATCCTATCTAGTTTTCTGTGGTGTCCCCAATGTTCAATTCTTACTGGGCTATTTTGGGGTTTCTATTTTTGCCTACACAGGCACTACAGTGGAAACAATGGAAGGTGTTGGTATGTTTGTGTGGGGCCCCCACCCCATCTGCACTTCGAAATGGTCCAGTCTGGCAACTAATGGAATGAACTTATAGACTGGAAGCCTTCTATAGGGTTGATGTTCTCCTCTCACATCAGAAGAGAATAAAGAGATGGTTCTTCTCAATCTCTGTCCGTTGAGGAGAATGTCTGGTTACATGGGTGCTGGTGGGGTGGGGAGCAAGAGGAGCAATGATATCAAGCACACCATGATATCTTAGTGCAAATGATGCAAAGTATGAAATTTGGATCAGTCTTTGCACAGCAATGTCATGATGCACCTGATATTGTTGTGGCTTCTACTGGACATCAGTGTCTGATTCTACCACTTGAAATCCGTGAAGTGAATTAATACATAAAGCTGTTTTAGCCAAGCTGAAGACCTCACTTAGATGATAAAACTGGACAGGGGCAGAGAGTGTCAATGTATGTTTAGTTTACACATAAAACTGTTTATATGAATTGAACTGCAGTTTGTTTTAGCCAAGCTGAAGACCTGACCTAGATGCTTGACAGAGGCAGAAAGTGTCTATGCAAGTTTAATGTACAAATATATCTGAGTCCCTCATGTGACTCCCAAGGAACTGCACAGAATCTCCTTGAAAGAATTCTTGATACTCATGCAAAACTATTTTAGCCAGGGAAAAGCCTATTGTTTGTATGGCCTGATACTACAGTCTGACCTGGTTCACAAAACACAGCAACATGATGGTTGGTTTTACAATGATTTATCAAGTAAACCACAATTGGATAGGTTTGTGCAATATACTGAATCACAAACCATGGTTTACAAAATAAAATCGCCAAGTTCACCCAACACATGATACTGGAATCAATCAAGCCTTATCATGGCTTCATCATGGCTTAGGGTGCTGTATGCATCAGACCGTAAGCAGGACTCTCTGGGCTTTACACAGTAAATGAAGCTCAGATGTGATCGGTCTGTTTGGCAAGAGACGGGGGGACCAGATAGAAGCTGAGCCCCCCCAAACTGCTGATTGGTTGTGTTCTAGTTTTGTTTACTAGGCTCTGCATCCACAGTCTTAGCTACCAAACCACTACGTGTAAAAGATCAGAATGCTCTACTTTAGAACGTCCTCTGTTGCAATATATCCAGATAATATGTCCATCATGCAGTTATTGCAATGCAACACCATACTAAAATTATTAATAACTATCCATGTGCAATCATACTCAGTTTTTTAGAGCCAACTACAGAATACGGTTCAACTTTACACTCCTTAAGACTTTTCTCTCAAGCATAATTCAACCATTTCTTAATGATCCAATGCCTCCTTTCTTTCCAAAATGCTCAGATTGTCAAAACATTTTGCGGTGTAGATTTTAGAATGAAATGTCTTTTGGTTTCCATTGTATTTCTACATTACTTGCATTTCTGTCCTTGCAGCTTTAGCTTAGAAATAAACATTGTGGGATTCCCTCCTGATCTTTACTTACTCATACTCTGAATGCCTTTTCCAAACTCTCCTTTCAAAAATCATCAGATTTCTGTTGCATATTTGGAAGAGAAGAGGAAGAAAGATGACAAGAAAGGAGAACACCCCTGGAAGATCAGGGGATTTGACAGAGTATCCCCAGCTTCACTTTGAGCAAGTCAAGGAGTTTAAGATTGGAAAAAAAAACAAGACAGACATGGCCTTTAGGTTCAATTCCTTGATGCTGTGGAGAATTGGGGTTGTGCTTATTCATTTCCCATGGTCTAACAGACAGACTCAATTACAGTGGCAGAGGGTTCACTGTTAGAAGACCTGAAGGGCCACCTTGGGGACAGATCATCCTGGAAGAGTCTATCCATGTGGTCACTAAGAGTCATCACCAGCTTGATGGCACATAATCAATCAATCAATCAATCAATCAATCAATCAATCAATCAATCAGACTGATCTTCTAACCAATTCTCATCAGTAGAGGAAACTATTAATACAGCTGCAAAAATGGGTTAAAATTCTATACAATTCATCCAGAAGTTTAGATTAAGGCTGCTTCCTTCTCCCTCTGATGTATATGCAAAAGAGCCCCCAATGTCTTTTAGCCCTTTGGACTGAATGCTGTTATCTGGTTTTTAAGAGATGGCAAATGGCTACATTATCACATTAATGATGTCTGAGTTCATACATCATGCTAAGCCATGGTTTGTTTCACCATATTCCACTGAATAAGCTACAATTGGCCAGGTTCACATATCGCTAAGCCATAAACCTTGGTTGACAGCCACAGTGGCTAGGTTCATGTAAATGCCATGCAAAACCCCCATTATGGCTTACAGTGGCCTCCCCTAAAGCCATCGTGTTGGGATTACAGCTTCCAAAATTTCCCATGCTTGGTTGAGGAAAGTTGGCTTAGAGCCATGTGTGACCTAGCCCATATCTCATGGACTTCTTCAGTTGGTGGTCTGTGGACACAGCCAGAAGCTAAAAATAACAGGCTTTATAAGAAAGAGGAAATATTTGAGAAAGAGGTTGAAATAATCACTTGCACCCTCCTTTGGGAGATCCATCACTGAAAGCAAGATGGACGCAAGTGTGGTCCTAACATTGTGCTCTAAATAAGGTATCCAGCATATATATGGGAAGAAGATCTCCTGTTTTTATTCTCCCTATCTTTACTCCAATTTCTCTATTTCTCCATTTTCTTCAACTCTCTATCTCAGTGTTTCTCAAGCTTGGCAGCTTTCAGAGGTGTGGACTTCAACTCCCAGAATTCAACTTCAGCTCCCAGCGTTGCTGGCTGGGGAGTTCTGGGAGTTGAAGTCCACACCTCTGAAAGCTGCCAAGCTTGAGAAACACTGCTCTATCTCATCACAAACTTGATTCCGCATTAGTAAATGCTGCTCAGGGAAGGTTGGGGGAATGACTTCGGAATGAAAACAATACCATTTTCCTCTTCTCACCAAAAGAAAGAAAGAATATACCCTCTTTTGTGAGAGGGAAATATATCTTCTTCTTACCATGCTTCAGCCAAACCCCGAACTCAAGGACCGTGTCAAAAAACAAAGTAAAACAAAACTAAAAAACCAAAACGAAACAAAAAAGCAAAACCCCAATGCAATGTTTGGTGCAGATTACGTAACAGCGACATTTCCATCACAAGATAACGGGGCATCAAAAGACAACATTTCTTAAGCGCACATGCTCTGCCAGCCCCCATAAGAAATAGCTAAGGAATCCCTAATGCATTTCTACTTATTCAAGAGGTATATATATACAACCCTTTTCAGAAGCAGGATTGGAAGGCCAGCACTAGAATACTATGTACCTTCATTTTCACAACTATCTCTTTCCGCTGGGCGTTCAAGCCGTGTTCCCGTGCATGTCAGCCCACGCAGAAGCTTGGATCCCTTCCTATGTCTAGATATTTTAACCATCAAATCATCATCACCTTCTTCTTCCTCTTCTTCTCCTCCTCTTTTTTTTTTTTTTAATTAAATAATCTGTGGATGTGCTTGCAGGCTTTCTTCAAAAAAGTCACATGGCTCAGAAGGCAAAACGTTTTGCTGCGAAGGGCCGTATGGCCCGGTAAGGACCACGAAAAGAGAGCGGGGTCATCCCCCATGGCGGTTCATTTCAGCTGTCAGATCCAAGTTGTGTTTCAATGTCCACTCGGCAGATTGGGCATTTCTTACTGGTTGCCAGCCACTGGTCGACACACACTTGATGAAAGAGATGCATACAAGGTAAACGCCTGGAAGATACAATAACAAAACTCCTTATTATTTAGGCAGGTCGTCCAAATTAGCCTTCATCTTTAGATCCAGATGCACTGTAGAAAATTCAAAGAAGATCTGCTGTGTACAGACTGAGATACAGTTGCTGATGTGCCCCCCCCCCCATCCTGGTCAGCCTATTCAGATCTGTGTCCATTAAATGGCTTTCACCCCCCAAGACTTTTTCAGAGCTAGAGGGAGATGCAGCAAGGGGAGGGGGGGGGGGGCACTGTCATAAAGGGTGCGGAGAGTCACATAAATCCTTTTGCAAATATACCTGGGCCTTTGCATCTAATAGAACTATGGTGGGGCAGATATTGCTCAGAACAAATACTAGCTCATGTCCCATCCTTTCCAAGACAATATCTGAAGTAGCATTGGTGGAGGTTACCTGATTTCATGGCATCTGTAGAAATCTTGGCAGGTTCTCACCTTGAAAGAATCCTGCCTTGATCTAAGCGCAGCAGACTTATCAAACATTCAGAACTAGATAGAAAAGACCCCCTGGCCAACTTTGTAAAGTTTAGACAGTGTAGGCTTCTATCTGACTCTAGGTCTGATCTAGCAGATGTCCATGATTTGTAATTAAACAATGGAACCAGCAATTTGCTGGCTCAGAAATCTTTTCCTAAGACTGTAAGTGCAGCACCTTTACCCTCGTGCCAAGGATAATATCCAAGTGGCTGGGATCTTGGCTGTGTGTGATCTCATGTAGCATCACACAACCCGAAGAGGAGAAGGCATCACTCAGTTTCTATAAAGTTGTAGTGTTCAGAGCCGTTGCTCTTAACAAGCTATTTGTACTGTTGAAAAGTGAGGCCATTAGTCCTCATGGTAAAGTATCCCTGGAGGTTTTAAAAAAAAAGCAGGAAAACTGAATAGGATGGATGAGTGGATCTTTAAAGATGACAGCTTTTAATCCAGCTATTTTTCCCCCCCAAGGATACATACATCTCGTTAAAAAAAGCATTTGGCAATGAAACGAAAAGGAATTTGGGTAAAGACTTGAAAACTAATTTGACAGAAAGCAGTTTACATGACTTGCCTTAACTCTGACCCTGATAACTGGCAATAGCATAAAAGTGGATCCAAGAGCCAGAAGAACCCATAGAATGAAGTGTATTAAATATAATAAGTTCCATGTTTGACTCTTAGGGGAGCAGACACCAAAAAGTGATAGAAATGCTGTTAAAGAAAACACTGCATTGTTCTACCTGTGTGGAGCTATCTCAAGAAAACGTACCTGAATGAAGACATTAGATACAAGATCATGTTTCGATTCGGGGAAAATGGTATTATCTCAGGCTGTCTACTCATAAATAACTGTTAAATACACGACATAAGCAATCAAATAAGTATTAAATTAGGAAGTGTTTTAGATAGGCAATTGTGTTGAAACAACTCAGTTCCTTCTTATTTGTGTATGGTTCGACTGGATGCAATTTATAAACTTTAATTTAGAGATGTGTTAATTATTTGATTGTATAAATGCTGTCAGGCTAAAATAATTTTGTAATATTTTTATACTATTAGTTGAACAGTATACTTCAAAAATACAAAACATATCCAATAAGTATTAAGCTAATTGTTTAATTAAAACAGAAGTATCCAAGGAAAAATTCAAATAAACATCTTGGTCTATTTAGAAAGAGCTGGGCTTTTTTTACAGTGCCTTTTTCCCCACTCTGCCACTCTCTGGAATCATGATGTACACAACATAACATGGGCACGTAAGTATTCCAGGAACTGCTGGAAGAAAATCAGAAGCCACATTTATGCAAATAATCTTATGCTGTTGTAAGTCTGTGGAGTTCTTGGTGCTCTCTGAGCTTGGTGGTTTTCTTGAAGATGTTCCATTACTCAACTAGGTAACATCATCAGTGCCTAGCTGGGTAATGAAACATTTGCAAGCAAACAACCAAGCTCAGCAAATACCAAGGACTCCACAGTTCAACCCCAAACTACACATATTCTCTTCTATTGTAAATCCGTGGATCTTTCTAAGATTAAGCAAAACTAAAGGAGACCTCTCAACTTCATATAATTTTAAAAAGAGGGGTCTGCAGATTTTTTAAAGAAAGGGCAAACTTTTGATGGATTCTGTAGTTGGATAGTACAGAGAATCTCCCAAATCCATTCCCCAACAATTTTGTGACAGAATTCTAATTATTCTTCCCCCTCCTCCTCTTCTTCCTCCTTCTTCTCCTTCTCCCCTAGCAAAAGTCAACTCTCCATTTTTATGCTCAGGACAGATTGTTAGCTTTGAAAGAGTGAGAGAGAACTTTTTGGCTTCCTTGTCAGGCTCCATACAACCTTGCCATCAGCTCCAGTCAGAAATATCAGCCTGATTGGCCCAGGGGGAGGGAATATCTGAATGAAGGGGGACCAGGAGAGAACATGAGCCTATAAAGTGAGAATTAAAGACTCGCTGGCATCAAAGAACAACAAAATGTAAGACACATGTGTCCAGTAAGAATAATGATACCTCACATCCTCGCCGTCTTCAAGCATTGAGAGACAGATTGTGCATTTCTCATCAGTATCTGACTCTTCACCTTCTTCCTTTTCTGCTTTGTCTTCCTGCGGCCATCGCTGTCAGCAAAGTCAGAAAGAACACTGCGTTACAACAGACGTTACTCAAATGCCTGTAAGAATGGGGAAGGTGGAGAAGTTCATAACTGTTGTCCAGAACTATTGCGTGGTTCAGGCCAATTTTACACTGAGAATTCTGCAGATGGCTGGAAACCAGTTCTAATTAACAATTCACCCATTTCTTTGGGAAAGGATGGTTAATGGATGCACCTTGTCTTCTCCCCGGTGAGAAGCATTTTAAGAGCACACTTTCATCACTTGCCTGGGGAAGGCGTCCTCTAAATCTCTGTAAGGCTGTGCTTTTAAGAGACATTGATCTTAAGAAGCTTTTTTTTCCCCTGGTCTGTGCAAGCTGTTAGCTTTCCCTGATTTTCTAAATAGCCCAGTTTTGCGCATTTCATCACAAAAAACAAATAGAGAAATAAAAGAAAGGATATTTTTCTCTCTCCCTCAGAATTCAGGGGCATCCAGTGTGGAATGGATTGACTGGGGGATCAGAAATCAGAGGAAGGGGGGGAGGGGGGGGGGGGGGGAGGAAGGAAGGAAGGAAGGA